AAATAAATTACACTTATGTAAAGAAATTTTACATAATTATATTTGCTAAAAAATGAGTTTCGAGAAACTTTATTTAGGAATAACTTTCATACATATGAAATGGTTAACGAAATAGTACACTAGACTACTATCTTCCATTATCTGGTAAATGAGCTTGGGCTTCATCTAAAAGAAACTGCAACAGCTGGCGAGTGATGGCAAACAGGGACAATAATAGACCCCTATTATATTATAAACTTTTAATGTTTCTCATTCAATACAAAAATATAAAAAGCTTACTGACCTCACATGTTTCCTCGATCGACTTTTTTAGGTCATCAAAACTATCTTCCATGTTTTGTAGTTTTTCAGTTTGAAAAGTTATTTTTTCTTCAGATTGCCTTTTCTCTTCCTTATAAGCTGCAATGACTTTTTGGGCCTCTTGATAACGCAGATGTAATGAAGTGTTTACTTTACTGAGATGTATAATTTTAGCATTCATCTAAAATTAAAAATAATTTTTTTATAATGCAGAAAATTAAAAATGAAATCTTATTAATTCCTGTAATAGAGTAGATTGTAGCTGTAATAGAGATGATTTAAAAAGTGTAGTTGAAGACTCATTCATGATATTGGCAAATAAGTATAGTGCGGCTTTCAGGAGAACTCCTCCAGACACCCGTCGTGGCGGGTACTGTGGTTACGAGGAAAGGTCACTTCGAATAGGGATGTGGGGTGAATAGTTTTGTCTTAATCTTAGCTTGTCACGAGTAAACCAAACGACACCTTCTTTTCTCCATTCCCCCCTCATTAGAAATGTGCTCTCGCTTGTTACCATAGCAGCAGACAGCCCCAGACTTTCAGTCTGGAGGAGTTCTCCTCAAAGCCACACTATACTACAAGGGCAGATAATATAAAGTTAAAAACATAAAAATATTTTGCAATTAGTATTAATCATTTGTGATTATTATTACGGCTCGAAATGTATTTTTGTTAAGCATGCAAAAGCTCTTTGCCAAAAATTATTCATTATCTTTTAAAATTATAATATGTTTCATTCTTTACTCGTGAAACAGATTTCTTAAAATCATTTATTTTAGATTTTATGTTTCTGTTTTAAAACAAATATGAAACAATGAAGAAGGAGATCCTAACATTTAAAAAAAACTTATTATTGTTAAACATGGAAAAGTTCTTTTTTAAAAAATTATTCATTATCTTTTGAAGTTATTTCAGATCTCATTCTTTACTCATAAATGGATTTCTTAAATTCATTTGCTTCAGATTTCATGTTCCCGTTTTAAAACAAATATGAAACAATGAAGAAAGAGATCCTAACATTTCTGAAAATTATTCTAGAAGTGAAATATTAACTCAACAATAATATAGCAGTAAAAATTCATGTTAAGAATTTTTTTTCTTTGCTTTTATCATAAATTAATAATAATTATAATTAATAATTTGTAAAATAAATTAAATACATTAATAATTTTTGCTTTTAATGATATAAAATGCATACATTATTCAGGTATATAAGGATTATTTAATAATGGTTCAATATTATTCCAAACCGAAATCAGAATGTTTTCATGAAAAATTTTAAAAATTAACTAAAGGAAAAAAAATTACAACATTACTTGTTACTTAATCAAATTTCTTAACATACATTAAACAAGTATAGCTAAGAACAATAATAAATCAATGAAAAATATTTTTCTTCTGATTTAAAAGCTCAGTACTACTTATATATTAAATAAAACAATTATTATATACTTAAAAAATAAATGAAATAAGATAAAATCTGCTCACAGAATCCAAAGTAGCTTGATCTTTCTCAAATCTGTCATCTTTCTGTTTTAAATTTGACTTCAATTTGGATATTACCTTTTCTTGATCTTTAATCACAGATTTCAAAGCATGATCTAAAAAATAAATATGTCCATATAAATGTGTTGAGAAAATTAACTTAAAATTATTGATTTTCTTTTTTTTTTTTTTTGCTTAAGAGTTTACAGACAGGGAGGCAGATTTTTTTTTAGCTTAGAGTTTCTCACAACAGGATTGGTGAGTTTGCAATAGTAAAAAGATATTTTGAAAACAGCTATATAATACATGGCTTTAAATACATTCCTAAACTTGTTTTTCAAGAATTCACTAAAATATTACTTAACATGTTTTTCAATTGTGCTCTTCTTATGAAATCACATGTTTTTTTAAAGTTAAATTGTATTTTTAAAGATAAGATTTTCTACAGCTTTTTTCAAATTTCTTTATTTACTTGAATATTATAATTTTTAGCTTCTATACAATGAATTGAAAAATAAAAGTTTTATTTATAGCATTTTTTACTTACCAACTTCAATGGGAACATCTTTCTTTTCAGCTAATGTCTGCTTCAAAATGTTATTTTCGCTCGATAGTTTATTGATGATAGTTTTTAGATTTGAAGATTCTTGCACCCAAGAGTCTTCCAGTTCTTCAAAAGCCTATAAATATGTTTGAAATTAACTAGTATTCAGTATGTCAGAAGCTAAGAAATGAACCAAAAGATATTTTTATGATTAGTTAAAAAAAATAAAGATAACAGTGGCGTGCAGAGGTGTGTGGGTAAGCAAATTCTGTTTTTAAATATCCTTGAAAAGGAGTGTAATTAATGGATGGGATAAAATAAATATTTATTTAAAAAGAAAAAAATATGTATTTATATAAATTAAATTCCAAAATGTTAAAATAATTATAAAGTTAAATTAAACTTTTAGTGATAAAATTTAATTTATTTGAAAATCATTATTAATTCTTCAATTCATATTTTTAATGATATAAATGTAAAATTGACTTTAGTAATAAAATAATATAGTATTAGATTTTAATTATTATAATGTTGTTAGTCATTGATCTGATGTCTCCTTCGGCTCAAGGCCTGGAGCCGTCGCTCCTTCTCAGCAGGCTAGCGAAAATTAGTTCCTTAATACACATGGCTTTAAAAAGCTTTCTTTTCCCCTTTAAAAAAAAACGGAAATATAAGAATGTTATGAAATGTATTCATTGATTAAATATTAAATTCATTATTGTTTACACATTTACATTGATCACGTGTTAGTATGTTTCAATTCAAGTTGGATCTTACTATTCATATAATTAATTATCTAATACTTACTAATATCAAGAATGCATAGTACTCATTGAGGGCAGATTTCCTGATTGGTACCAGAGCTGAAATAATTACAAATTTTGGATATTTGTAATTATTTTTAATTGTTTTAATATTGTTTGAATATTTGTAATTATTTTGGCTGCACCATAAAAACTACAAAATACAGTGCTGAAGATGCAACATTAACATAATGCAGTGTTCTCCCTAAGCATTTTTAAAAGGGCGGTTTGCAATGCCTGCCCTTTAAATTGATCCCTACAAACGTGTCCTCTTCACCTTTTTATAAAAATAAGTTGCCATTCCTTAAAGACACTGCCTCTTTATTTATATCATAACATTAAATAAAATAACATTTAAATAAACTTTTTAAATAATAATTATATACAAAAATTATCTGTGTTTATAGATTTGATTATTATTACTATCACAACTATTTACTTTGTTAGGATTATTCTCAACTAATTAATTCTCAATTGTTACTAATACAGACTTGGATAAATGTGATGATCATCATGGAAAATTATTATCATTTAATATGTACCTAATTGATAACTGAATTTTTTCTTCTTTTTAGTTTCGTTACAATAATCAATAGCTGATTACATTTCACTACAAACACTGAACCCATAGCATAAGCAAAACTTTCACATTGAAATGGTCTCATTCTGATACTTTAAGAAAGGCTGTGAACTCAGGGGTCTGTCTAGGATTTTTTGAGAGGTACCTATTTTGTGAAAATAGGTACCTCTCATAATTACACATAAAAATGGTAAAGTAAGAAAATATTTTCAAAAGTCGCTACTACAAATAAAAATAATTTATGACTGGTAAATTTCTATGCATTTTTCCTAATTTATTCAAAAATTTTTTTCCGCTATTTTATAATTTTGAGCTTAAAAGTTTAATCTAAATTTAAAAACCCATAAAAATCATTGTCCTTAGCTTCAACTTGAATTTAATAAAAACATGCATTTAAGAGTACCAGCAATAATAGCTTTTTTCATTATGATAACATTCTGGACTAGCTCAGACAGAAAAAAATTTCGTAAGAGAAAAACACTTCATAAAAAAATAAAGATTAGTTAGAATAAATTTACAATAATGTTTAAATTTTGACTTCCTGTAATGTTTATAGAGGGAGAGATTCATTGTTTCATTTTAAAAAACTCATATTAACTCACCCGGGATTTATCATTTTTTACGGGGATACAAAAACCAAATTTTATGAGGCAGGGAACTTATTTTTCAAAAAGTATTTTGCGAAACTACCGTTTCTCCTAAAGTTGAATTTGTGAAAAAGTACCGCTAAAGAGTAGTAAATTTACCTTGAAACTAGATCAATAACTTAATGCTTCAGCACACGAATTAAAAACTGTATGCCTTTTTTAACATATTTTTATTAAAAGCAATTCCAAGACCAATTTAAAAGGCTTTGTGGGTTACTTTTGGCCCATGGGCTATAGATTGTGCCCTTCTGCTCCAGCTCTACACATATCTTTCATTTAAATCTTTTGATTGTTTAGGTTTTTGGGAGTCAGTCTTAGCTATATCGCGCCTCCAACTAGGTCGATACTTTACAACTAGGTTCACAATTCTGTTTTGGTTCAAAAACTAGATAGATGGATAAATGACAATGTTCTTAAGATATGAGAAAATGTTAGAGTGAGGATCATCTCCAATTAGTGAAAACAATGATAGATGGAAGCTACCAAAATGGCACAGTCTCTGGTTTTTAAATTAACTACACTCAATCAAAATATGTATAACAGTTAAAGGTTCTTTACAATTTGTGCATTCTGGTTCGTTTAGAAAAAGGTGTTTATGAGTTATTCCTGTGTGGCCAATACGCAAGCAGTAATCTTTTGCAGATTAATAAAAAAATATTTGGCATGGCGATTGTAGTTGACTTGATCAGGTACCAATATGAAAATATCCCACTAATATTGTGCAAATAATTTAAATTTTTGGTTTTACTTAATTTACTAAATTTTGTAATAAC